CCTGCCACCTCAGCTGCTTTGAGGATCAGTCCCTGTCACTCCCGCCAGCCCTCCATCATCTCTGATGCCTCGGCTGCCGACGGCGACCGCTCATCCACCCCGAGCGACATCAACTCGCCCCGCCACAGGACTCACTCCCTCTGCAATGTAAGAGCTGCCTGGCACCCCCGACCAAGTAATCAGCCTTCCCAACTTGTTTTTATCTCCACCTTCACTCTTCTCAAATATTAAGTCCCTGTGCTGCTCATTAGCATGGCTTCAGGGGCCCATTTTGTCTTGATGGTAGTTCATTCAGATAAATCAAAAGATACAATTTGTACCTGGGAGAATTAGCTGTGCTTCACAAGACTGAACCGAATACGTTTTACACATTTGGCTTGTAGAAGCCAATGTTAATTAAGTATTATTTGTATACTATTATAGTATTTATACAAATTTCAAATTAGCTTTTATTTTTATGTTTATTTATCTATTATATTTTCAATTTTCATTCAGATTTTTGTCATTTCTATTCTTTTTTTATATAGATTTTCTATTTAGGTTTAATAATCAGTTAGTAGCCAGAACAACATTTCTGATTAAGTGTTTTAAGTTTAAACTTTTAATCCAATAATTATATCTTTTTTTTACTTATTTTTAATAGGTTTTATACCAAAATGTTTTAATACTAAATCTTACATTATGAGGCACAAGGGGCTTTGCTATATTGTAAATATAGTCATGGCTAAAGCACAACTTAAAGTGGATTGGTAGGTTTTAGTTATCAAACATCATCAAGGACCCACTATCCATTTTATGATAGTAAATATGGGATTTTCATATGTGTTAGAAAATAAAAAAACATCTTAAAATGCCTATGCTGGATTGCAGGTCTTAACTGGTCTTCCAGACTGGTTGTTGTGGTCTGATTACTGGTTTTAGAGGGATTTCAGGTACTTTTCAGCAGCTCTGGCAGGAAGACCAGCTTAAACCAGCCAGGACCAGCAAACTAACTGATTGCATCAGCTAGTGGCATCTTGTTAACACCCCTCAGCAGCTTTTATTTTAATCTTAAATTTAGCATTTTTGGATCAAATCATACAAAAAATGGCTTATGCTAACCAAAAGTGTGATTGGAAAACTGTAGTATGTATCATGTTAAATGTTTGTGAGTATACAATCTCACAATCCAGAATGAGAGAATGCAAATAAACCCAATTTGGAGCGTGTGGACCCCTGAAGCGGTGCTGATGAGAGAGGGCAGACATTCCTGAGATTCCTGATGAAACCACATGACTGACCTGCCCCCATATGTCCACCATTACTTTTCTATTCTCTCTTCTCCTTCCTCTCTCGCTGTCTCTTTTTCGGCCTTTTCTTGTTCTTGCTTCAGTCCATGGAGGACCTCGAGGACCAGAAGCGTAAGAAGAAGAAGGAGAAGATAAGTCTCGGCTCACTTTCTCGAGTGTTTGCCCGGGGAAAATCTCAACGCAAGTCCTTGGATCCGGGCCTGTTTGATGGTACTTCCACCCCTGATTACTATATAGAGGAGGATGCTGATTGGTGATAGTGCTATTGTGTGTGTGTGTGTGTGTGTGTGTTTGAGTGTGCAAAAGCGTTTGTGTGTGCCTTCAAATGTATTCCCCATGAAAAATACAGGAAAGAGGAAGAACTGCTGCCTCCTTGAAATGTACATAATGACACTTAAAAACATCTATGTAAATGAAATATATATTTATATATGTATGCATATGTACATATGTTTACATTCATATAAATATATACATGGGATCATTTGCGTCTGAATATGTTTATGCTGTTATTATGCTTTATTTGTGGTAATATATGTCTCTTTTTTTATAAACTGGAAACTTGAATTACTGCTGAGCATTTGTAAATAGCAACTCTTGTGCACCTTGTATTTGCTGATGTCTTCATGTGGAATGCTTCTTTTTCATGACTGCTTTTACCATGAACCCAGAGCTCCAGGCTGTCTTCATACGCCATAGCATGAGGTCCATCTGAAAGATTTAAAGGTGCACTCAGTAGTTTTTTCCCTCATTAAAACATTTTAAATAAAGAGATGAGAGAAAAATATTAACATGATATGATCACATGAGATGCGAGCCTAATAAAAGCTGTTTAATTGTGCATGGAGCAGGTCACCGCATGGGGGCCAGCTAATATTACTCATTTTATTTAGGTAATCTACCTATTATCAGACACTTCAATCTTTTCTGGCTGAAAATGGCATTTCTACATGACATCTGTTAACTTTGTGTGACGCTGCATCCACACCACTACAGGGCAGCCAATGCAACGTTAACAAAAAATGACTGAGTGCACTTTTAATGTTTAAATTTACAATCTACTCAGTTACATCCAGATAGGATGGTTTTCTAAATGTTTGCCTTAAGCTGTTCATCTCAGTAATCTAATCACTGAGGAACATCTGCATAAAGGTGGGGTCACATTTATCAAAATTTGGCGAGATTTCACAGGCAAAAAGAGTTCCAAAGGCCATCGTCAATAGTGTAGCGATTCATGAAGCACAGCTCACACGCAAGTCACTTTCAAACCAGGCAGCTTTCTTTTGGTAAACGTGTTAAATTTGCGTGATCAGCTTTTGCCCTCACGTGAAACTCCTGATCACACGATTCCTATTGAAATGACTGGATCTCACCTGTGAGATTGCATCAAGCAATGTTAAATGTGATCGCACCTTAACAGGTGAATTTTGTGTGTTTACCTCAGAGTTACACTCAGACAGCTGCCAAACCAGGATAATGATCATTTGAAAGTGAATATTTTATTATGTATTATGTCTTCTTGCAAGACTGCACCAAGGATCTTTTTAATTTTGACAAATGTGAAATGAAACCCTCCCAAAATCTATACTTTATCGTCTGGAAAGACTGCATAAATTATATTTTAGGCAGTTTAGTTCCATTATGATGACAGATTACAAAAGGATGGAGTAATTCAGTTAGAATTGGACTGAAGTTACAGTATGTCTCAGACAGGCCTTGTCTGAATCGTTTTTGCGTGGTCCGATGTGACTGCCTCTTTTTGTTAAAAGACATGTAGCATTATTTATTAGACTGTTTCTATTTTAAAAACCACATATTTTATAACCTGTGAGGAGTTATGCTAGATTTTGAAGTGATATCGTGGAAGTTTGTTTCCACATAAATTATTTACACACAAATCTGGACTATACTTAAACTAAGGTGCTGACCTTACACCAGTAAAGTGCCAAATGGTTATAGTGCAGCTTGCAGTACAAAAGAAAATACATAGGAATCTTTTTTTTTTTTTTTGCTCTCTCAAGGGTGCAAATAGAATGCAAACTGAAGAACTCATAACACCCTGCTTGCATAACATTCTTTTCCATTAATGTTAAACCCAATGATGTCATGACTATAGTCTTGCTGACATATCACATATTTCTTTCCGTTTCAAGCTTTCCTTTGCATCTCGGTGGCACTGATTTTTATTTTTATTTTATTTTTTATTTTTTTGATCTTTTAAATTAAAATGAACTTCATTCCTCATGTCATTCTAATGAGTTTATGTTGTAAGGTTTGTAAAGTAGATTATGTCAGATATAAGATTAAATTTATTAAAGACCTTTATTTAAAGATTAGAAAAGAGGTCATTTCAATGAAACCAGACTATCTTTGAATTTACAGACAGACTTGTTGAGGAGGTTTTAACATTCTGGAGATTTAAAGAGGAAAAAAACTATTAAAATAAAACTTATTTTAAAATAAAAACACATAACCCAACATTCATGTGCCTTTCTTCTTGACCCTGTGTGTGTGTGTTTGTATGCGAGTTGTTTCCTCTTAACCCTCCTGTTCATGGGTTGCCGTGGTTTGGGGTGACCCCGCTCTACTCTTCATTTGTAATTACCCACCATCTGTGTTAACACGTGTCCTAACATCGTCTTACCTCAGTGGATGAGAATGCCCCAAACTCACTACATTCATAACTCATATGAATATGTCAACTGGAACAAGTCTATCATGTACACCCTTATCCAAAACATGAGCACGGTCATGTGCACCTCTACCCGAAACATCATCTCATGACCAACTGATTTTTATTTCATTTAGTTTAAGGGTCTATTTAAAAATGCTACACATTTATTGAGGATTATATCTTTATATATCATAAAAAGTACATTAAGTAGGTTTCCTTGATGAGAGTTTTCTATTTACAGCCTCGCGAAGGATGCTGGAGAGCTTTTCTACAGTAAATTCAGAGCGATTGGGTTTTTCCTTCTCATTACTTGAAAAGGAAACAGATTGCAATCTCCATTAAAATCCATTTTTCCACAAGCCAGCAGATGCTCTCAGATGTCTCGAACAAGGTCAAGGCTCTGTCTTTGCTTAGACGAGTGCCTGTTTCCTGTAAAGGTTCGAAATAGGTGTCCTCTGCCCCGATGCTCATCAGATAATGAGTTTTATAGAGGTAATTTTTTCAGCTAATTAAAATCTGACGAAGCCTTAAGAGAAGGATGATTCAGTCTGAACCCTCAGGGTGACTTCAATCTGGTTTTATACCTGCCAGGACACACTTTTAGCGTTAGGAGGGCTATATTAGACACCAAATAATCTAAATAATTAGCTGTACATCTAATTCAAACAGATTCAACTGAATATCGAGCACCTTAAAGGGGTCATATGATGCTGCTAAAAAGAACATTATTTTGTGTATTTGGTGTAATGAAATGTTTATGCGGTTTAAGGTTCAAAAAACACATTATTTTCCACATACTGTACATTATTGTTTCTCCTCTATGCCCCGCCTTTCTGAAGCGCGTCAATTTTTACAAAGCTCATCGGTCTGAAAAAGCGAGGTGTGCTCTGATTGGCCAGCTATCCAGTGCATTGTGATTGGCCGAATTCCTCAAGCGTGGCACGGAAATGTTACGTCCTTAACTATATTGTGATGCCTGCGGCAACCACATGTGACTCCGCTTCGATCCGGCGATCGACAGCGCAAAGTTGAAGTATTTCCTCAGCAACCAGCAGGGATCAGCTCCAGTCATGACGAAGCGATATCGTCCTCTTTTAGAATGCCAAACAAAGTAGTTTCACTTTCACAACGAAGCACACAGCGCCTTCAGGACATGGCGGCGGCGGCAACAATACTACAGCGAGAATAAAAGTTACGCCTTCTTTCTTTGCGTGAACATTTGGGCGGCGTTATGCAAATCTTCCCAGATAGTGACGTAGGTATGTGGGGGCGTGTTAGAACGAGCCGTTTTAGGTAGGTGTGGCTGACTCTTAACTTTTATAAAGAATATCTCTTTGGATTTGAGACTTTTGTCTTTGCAACTTTACAGATCTTCTTTATGCACCAAGAGCTTGTAACACTCCAAAGAGAAAGGAAATACTGAAATCGCATCATATGACCCCTTTAAGGATGACATCACTGCAGCAGCATTAGCTCAGCGCTTATAGCCACATGCTGGTATACACGTGAAACTACAGTTGTGGATTATACAGCGTTCATAAAATCTGGTGACTTTGGTGTGGTGGTTTAATGGTTTTAATGTGTAAAATATAATAAATTACAATATACTATAAAGAACTTTTATAATACACATTTTTTCTTTATGAATTTAAGCTTAAATGGCCTATTTAAAAAATGCTGTAGAATGAATTTTCATTCAGAAATGTTACAAATGACAAAAAATTACATTTTGAAATAGTATTTTCTTATAAAATGCACTCCAATCATTTTTATTTAAAAAACTGTTTTTACAGTGTAGTCAATGCACTATATAACAAAAAGGACTGTGACAGCAATGTATTTGTTTGTGTTATAGTAAACAATGCAGTAAAATGTTCTAGTTAGTAGATTAGCATAAAAAGCAAGTAAATTAAATGTTAGCTTCACACAAGATGGGGAAGGAGGTGGTTTTGTAGTAAATGTCTGAGGTGGTAAATGTGTCTGGGTTGTGTAAGGATAGATAAGGCCTGTCGATGTTGACCGCAGGCCTTATTATGTCCGTTGGTTCTCGCTAGAAAGCAATGAGTCATTTAAGAAGCATTTTAAGAGCAGAAAATACTGAAATGAAACAGGAGGATATGGAGGTGGGTGCTTTTCCTGACAGCAATAAAAAGCATTCATGTGCAGAATGGATAAGGCATTTTTGTTTTGCTCTCAACCCCTCTGAACCCCTTAAACTTGCCCCCCTCCTATTCCTGCCCCTCCTGACCAATCCAGACTCAGACAGCCTCTCCAGCCAGAACCATCCCAGCCTATCAGATGGTGAGGAGCAGCTGGAGCGGCTGCAGCAGGCGGAGCTAACACGAAGCAAGCCCATGTCTCTGTGGAGGGCAGTCACTGTGCAGGCCTGGCTGGAGGTTGTCATGGCAATGCCCATGTACATGCGTGCCTGCTCAGAGAATGTCAAGAGCGGGAAGGTAAATGGTTTTTTTTTGGCCAATTCTTACCATTCTTATCATGCATTTTATTTTAGCCCTTTTTAAGACAAGGTACTACAGAGAAAACCATTCTTTTTTTCCATGCACTGGTAAATTTTGAGATTTCTCTTATAAAGTGTCTTCTTTCAAACTACTGGAAAGAAGACATCCAAAATACGTATTTAAGTGTTTATTTTATTCAACTTTATCTATTTGCATCTGTAGATTTCAGTTACACTTTTTTCTGCCTTTTGACAGTATTTTCCGATTTTTGGAGTGATAAAAATAGATATCCAAAATCCCTCTGTAAAAAAAAAAAAAAGAAAAAGAAAAGAAAAAATTAGCCTGGCTTTATCCAGTGTTCAGATTTCTGTTCTGGACATTTATGCAAATCAGTGTTAATTTAATGAGATAATGCTTCATTTGCATATTTAAACAACATTTCAGAAAACTTGTAATACAAAACAATTGTCTTAATGTACTGTGATTAATCAACTGGGGAAAGTATGGTGATTTATTTTAGTTAAAAATGTACCCTATTTACCTGTAGTGTCTTACCTTAAAGGCAAAAATGCAAATAACCATAACTAACAAGCCATTTATAATCCTCTCCTTGATTAAGTGACATCCTAAGATAACATTCAGTTCAATCATTCAGTTTTGTGGCTGCTGATTAGTACTTTATCTTAATGTCCAACAAATATTTACTTCCCCGATGCTTAAATTGAGCCCTGACATTAATCTAGTAAATGATTACTCAGTTAAACCGGAATACCTTGAGATGATGTGATGTGATGTGATGATGTCACAGTGAGCTGCTTCCTGTTGCAGGTGTTGCTGGGGTTGACCGATGAGGACCTGCAGCTGGGTTTGGGCATCAACAGCCCCATGCACCGCAGGAAGCTCCGTTTAGCTATTGAGGACTACCGAGAAGCAGAGAATGGACGAGGGTGAGCGGCCACACAAACACACAGGTGGCACATATTATAGTGCTTTGGCATTGGTTTTGTGTTACATTTGTGACCCTCAGGCTTTCGAAAGCTGCTGATATGGATCATCACTGGGTGTCTAAGACCTGGCTGAGTGATGTGGGGCTTCCCCAGTACTCACAGGTCTTCCACAACCAGTTAGTGGATGGCAGAGTACTGAACTCTATCACAAGGAGAGACCTGGAGACCATCTTTAACGTCACCAACAAGTTCCATGTTACCAGCATCCTGTCAGCCATTCAGCTTCTGCAAATGCTCAACTTTGACAAAGAGGCGAGAATTTTTTGTATACACTGTTGCGTCCACTCTGAAAATATAAAATGTGAAGGAGTTGTTGGTGATATTGTAAAATATCATAACGTCTCTGCAGACTATACAGGCACGTCGTGCTCAGTGTGAAAATCGAGATCTGGATCCGGTGGTCTGGACCAGCCACCGTGTCATTAAATGGATCAGAGACATTGATCTTAAGGTAATACAAAGTTCATACAATTTACGCTACCATTCAAAAGTTTGGGGTCAGTAAGATTTTTTAATGTTTTGAAAGAAGTCTCTAATGCCAACCAAGACAGCATTTATTTAATCAAAATTATATAATAATAAAATAATAAAAAATATCGTAAAATGTGTAACACTAATACCATTTAAAATAATTGTTTTCTATTATTATATATTTTAAAATGTAATTAATTCCTGAGATGGCAAAGCTGAATTTTCAACAGACATTACGCCAACAATTAGTTGTGCTGCTTAACTTTTTTTTCAAGTTTTTTGTAACAATTTAAAAGTTTTTACTTTCAATTTTGATCAATTTAATGTCCTTGTTGAATAAAAAACAAAGTTAGAAAAAGTAATGTGTGTGTGTGTGTGTGTGTGTGTGTGTGTGTGTGTGTGTGTGTGTGTGAGATAAAAAAAAAAAA